AAGAGTTTGTTCCAGTCCAATGAATTAGGAGAGACGTGTATGTATGGATCGAAGAAAAAGTAGCGTAGCAGTCCACCTTTAGGCGAGACACCAATTCTTAGGGGCCACCACGGGACATCTCTAGGCAATCTTTTGCTGACTCATGAAGCAATTATTCTGACATCAATTCAAGTGAAGGAAAACTTTCTACAAGTGATCACATAAAGTGTATGGTGAAGAGACGGTTACATTATAACCGTGAAGGGTCTTGAATTCTGTAGTTGTTGGTGCCTAGAGCTTGTCTCTATTTCTGAGGAAAGGACCTCGAGGCACGATTTGTAGCATAGCTTCATTGTATTAACTCTTGATAAGAGAAAAAATAGACCTAAACCGATTAAACAGTTTGACAGGGAGTTAGTATGCTTTCAGCCAAAAGGGTCCATCGTATCCCTGAACTTTCAGTCTCATTGCTATGAACTGGACGAGGGAAGATGCCTGGGCAGCGCATTGCTGTGCCTTCGAAGTATTACGAGCATTTACACCCACTTGATCGTGCCGACGAGCACAGACACACAGCAGCGATTTTCATCGTACTGAGACAACTGTACTCTGTAACAATTAGTGCACACAAAATACAAAACAGAAAAATCAGCTCGTATTCAGCTATTTGTTAAACATTACCAACGTAGTAGTGATACAGATGGCTTTCTGTGACATCGCCCGCCAGATATATACACATATGTACATAAGCTAGTATGGATAGTCACAGCATTTATTGAGCTAGTAGGCGGCAGATATCTGGTTACATTCCGCTAAATAGGAGATTTCTTACATTCTAACGAAGAGCGAGTAAGACGGATAATCATTTAGCACTGAATCACTACATGTGGTAGAAGGACAAACATGGCTACTGGCGGGATTTAATAATTCAACAGATTTTGTGTGTGCTACTGTCTTACGCATAGGCTAAACTCAGCGATCCAGAAAATGGAGTCTGCAGGACGCCATTTTTTTATTATGCATGAGGCCCCTATAAATGTGTGCGTTTAGTGGCCAGCCCCATGTTTAACTGGCGCATGCATGGATCTGCTAGGCAGCCCCGATAGTTTGTACAGGCAGATAGCTCAGCACACGTCTTTTAATGTCTATGTAAGCATGAAATTTCTCTCTGGATCTTAGTGCACTATCAGCCTGTCAAAATCTACTTTTACACAGGGCAAACACCTGGATTACAGGATTCGGAATCGTAGCACCTAGGAGCATCGCCGATTCCCAGGAAATCTTGCTATTAACTTTTCCCCCTTGTCAACAGCCCCTGCAGCTTATACTTTCATCCGCCCAGCGCGGATTACCTTTACGCTTTGTACGGCTGTTTCCTCAATCATTTGTTACCCATTGCCCCATCTCTACCCCACTGCTGCTGAGGCAACATTGGCTTGTCTCAGACGGACCTCGGAAACTGTTGCCCGTTAGCTGTCTTTCCTTGTGTTTGCTACGAATTTTCTACAGAGCGCTTATTCCCCTTCTAACATTGAAACGGAGCTACGCAGCATATTGACTTGCTTGAGCAAACAGTGCAAATTTGCCGTCGATACAGTGTACGTTTAGCTACAATATATTCTCTCTGCGAAAGCTTACGTCTCAGCTTTTAGGATGCGGGGAGTTGGCTTTAGGCATTTGCGTTCACCGCTTCCGGTGGAGGGGTCTCGCTTTGGTTTATCCTGCGGAGGATCTAGGTCAATGGAGCAAAGCCACATAGTACTTCCGTCGGTGTGTGAACTCCAGAGGCCCTGCTCATCAATGGCACGCTGTGGCACACGCAACGCTGAGCTGCTTTGCGGCAAAGATGTTAGCCCTATATGTAGCGATACGAGTGAAACTGACCAAAAAGACAATGGCCCCCAAGCCTTTTCTCAAAATTGTCCAATGATTCCTCCACCACCTCCACCTCCACCTCCTGAGCAGCGGCCACAAAACATGCCTGACATTTCGGCGTACCCTTCAGCTGTACTGACAACACAGATGCACAATGCTCAGCAGCAGCCTCGAGTACCATTATCACTTCCATCTATTGATCCGCTACGCGTCAATGTAATGCCCCAAATTGCGGCAGCAGCACTAGATGAAGGTAAAAGTGCTCCCACTCCGCCCTGGAGAAAAAATGCCATCCAAGCAAGTCCTTGTGTCGATTCCTGGCAACACCTTTGCTGCGCTAAATCCTTAACACTGGTGGAACAGCAGCAACGACCTAAAGCGCAGCAGCCTGAGATCTTCTTAAGCCCAAACCAGCCGCTGGAAGATCCGTATGCCATGCCAAGCTCTGCCGATCCTTACGGCCTCACTACTGAGTACAGTGACGGGTTAATGTGCTCACCTGGATCTCCCACTCCACCACAGAACTTTAACCTTGGAGGTCCTGGACAAACTGTCTCCACAAAGATAACCGTTCTGCCTGCTGTTGACGGCTCCATTGAGACATGTGATAGCTTGCCACTTCTGCTACAGCCTCCAATACTCCGCAAGGATCTTGATCATTCCCATGTAGTAGCAGGGCGTCCAAGCCGTGTGGCATTTATGTGCTCTCCAATGGTTGCAACAGCTGTAGCAAGAGAAGGAGAATCACGCCTATCATATGATGCCCACCGAGTGCGCCGGCGGACCAAAGCCAGGCAAAGGCGTGTAGGAGGGCTACCTCAAAGTGTCCCTGGGGTCCCACCGCCTCTTCCGTTGGGCATGCATTGCTATCCCCCGCAAGAGCGCCACAATCAACAGCCTGAAAAAGCGATAATATCTCAAAGGCGAACATGCTACCGTTGTAGGAGACGAGGTCATGAAGCCAACGAATGCCCTACTTACCTGCGGGCTCGCCAAATGCACTCGAAATACATGATCTCTACACCGCCTATTGTTGTAGATGGTCTTCCAGCAAAGAGTACTGCTACCCCTAGTACAACAGTTTAAGAGAATGTCGCGTGCTGCCTTCTGCTGTTTGGCCTACATAGTTGTATCCCTAACGCGGTACGCAGGTGCCCTATGTGGTACTGAAATTTACTGCTGCTATAGTAGCGCTTCGTCGAACACATATTGATGGTTGCTCTTACTACCAATCACCTACAACAAAGGGGTCGTCTCAACCCGTGGATCTCGCAAAGAATTAGTTTTAAAGATGCTTGTATATAAACGACCGATGCACTTCAAGGAAGACAAAGTACCCTGAAGAAGTAAAATGTGATACATCGGTGCCATACAACGTAGTGCCTCAAAGTCCACCAGAAATTTCTTCCTCAATCCCTTAAAGTCATTTCGGCTGTTCACCCTGAATGCAGTGAGCTAAGCGCTGCAGCCGCTCCTCCAGCTGTTGTCACCACACTTCAAGGCAAAATGTAAGCACCAGCGTTTAAAGGACCAGGGGACCGGCACGTTCGTAGTCCAACAGGGTCCTCACCATGTATAGAAGGTAAGTACATATGTATGATAGAACGTATCAATAGATCAATCGAGTTTTGCGTTAATGAAAATATCATACAAAGGATGTTATACGACTTGCTTTGTTGCAATTGCGTGTATTCCCTCACAGTTAACAGAAAAAGTTAAAAGTAACTTGGGCAGGACAGTTGAACAAACACCAAACATGTTTTCAGCTGGGTACTTGTGGCTGAAGATTGGGAAGATATTATCCTGAAGCCCCCACTAAGTCTGCACGCAATAGCGCATGCAGAGCCTAATTTCGATGCCCGAGCAGGCTTTAAGTGTTGATTGTGCATGAGTATAGCAGTTCCTGTAGGACGCGTATGCTTGTTTGTAGTAATAGAGAGCTTTCCTACTGCTGGTGGGGTCTGACATGCAGGCTCGCAGAAGCCTGTCGTAGGAGCATGAGTGTGTAAGGACTAAGATTATTCTCTCTGGCGTCTTTATCAAACACTTCCAGTGACCCTCGAAGCCATTGGTGGAAAGCTTTTATTCCTTTTTGAGAGGGAGTCAGCAAGGGTTACTAAGCGGCTTGTACAAACAAGGCAGCAGGAGCTTTCCTACCTTACAATCACTATCAGGAAGGTCGTAGGCATCAATGATCATCAAATAGCCCGAACAGGCCGACTGCACTCCTAACAGGCTTTGCAGCTCTGCGCCAATTAGCTCCTCTGCCATCCTAATGCCTTCTCCACAGACCCGGATCTCCAGCAACAACCCATTTCTGCAATAACTCCTACTGATGGCTCACGTGCCGCCCCAAGCCTCCACAACACGATAGGGAGTAAAGAGAGTCTCCAACGCTAGCCAGTGCACATGTGGTGATCCCAAGCTCGGTGACCACTCTTCTCAACCTTCCAAAACACACATGCAAATCCTATTTCAAGAACCTTTGAATAACTGCGAGTTGCTTTAAAGCCATCCTTTCGAAAGCATTTTACTTCCATGCTGTCACGCTCCCTGAGCTGGCTGCTGCAACATGTCAGAGCTCAGCAGCAAGACTAAGCATCTTTTCCAGTAGGAACGAATCAAAGCTTCACAGGAGCTGCTAGTCCTCTGTGAAGCCAAACCTTAACTAGCGGTCGACATAGTAGTTTGTCTCTGCGTGTGCTGTTGCATGCACGCCAAGTTGGGGCCCTCGTAGTATTGCTCGCCCACTGACACA